ACAAAAAAAAAGTTGAAATATGAACGGAAAGCTATGGAATATTAGACGTAGGACGAATTCTTTTTATTTTATTTTTTTTAAGAAAGGTAAAACCCCCAACCCCCACAAAGTAGAAGAAGGAGAAAACACCAGGAAAAGACACGCATACATGAAAGAAAGAATTTCGTTGTTAAACAATTTTAAAGAAAGGAAGCCATTAATTTGAAAACAACAGCTGGACATTGCAATCAAAAATGCTCCATACCGGAAACAAGAGAATAAAAACGGTTTTGCACATGTTAGTGGCCTATCTGATTTGCGGAAACCGACAGACATTATTTCTATGTGACTGTAATCAACTCGTCCGAAAAACCTTACATAAAGCATCACTTAGCGCTAAAAAAAGAAAAAAAAGAACTCTGAATAATTTATAAATAAAACCACTTTATTCGCGGTTTTTCAGTACTCGGTTTCAGTTAACCGCGATTTATTATTACTGTTTTTAATCTCTCGTGTTTAATTTAGAAATTAAATTTTACATAAATGTAAAATCACTATCAACGTTATCTTAGTGACTACACGTGTTTGCGTAGCTATCACTGTTTATTTACAAACAGCGAAATTAACGTCTACCGGTCTAGATAATCGAAAGTTTTATTTAATTACACCTCTTGGCAAGCATCAAATCTGTATCCCATATTTTATTTTTTTTTTAGAACAGCCCCTTTTAGACAGTGTAGACACCGAAATAACCCAACGAGATGTTTATAAATCTAAGAAAGGGTAATGGACAGGATCGTATTTTGACCTTTGGGGTCCCCTAGGATAATAAAATTATAGGTCTTCCCTCAGACAGACTCACCCGCACTCGTCTTGGATATTTTTTACTCGTTTTATATTTTAACAACATTTATATAGCTTGAAGTTAACTTATTGCACATTCGTTAAATAAACTTGAAAGGCTATCTTTTGTTTGTCAATTACACTTTTTCTTTAAGAAATAGCATTATTTTACTAACCATTATTTACATTATTTTGCAAACCAAATTGGAATATATTTCAACAAAACCGTAGTAAAAAAGAAAGGTTGATTATTTTTTATTGCGAGCATTATAACTAAACTGGAAAAACCTTACGTTGCAACGTATACTATGGGATAATCAGGCCTTCGTAATAGAGCCTTCACTTATTGTAAGGACCTATATAGCTTAACGCTGTTACACGCCTGGCTAAAATATGGTTTTCCAGAAAAAAAGGAAAGCAGGGATTTTGCTCAAGACTAGATAACTCTAGACATGGAGGGTGGAACAAGAACAATCTACTCCTGTAGATTCAATAAAGGGTTCAGTTCGAAATTTTTTGAAGGTTACACTAAAATCTGGAGAAGGCTGAATAGCACAATGTCTAAAACGTGACAGTAACGGCAAAAAGCAGAACATTAGCTGGATTGTAAACAATACTATTTTTTCATCTAAAAACATATCTGTTATTTTAGTGCAATCTATATTACTTTTTTTCTTGGAACATCCCCTTTTAACCAGTGTAGGTATCTGTTGTGTCGGAAACCTACCACCCCTCTTGAAGATGAACTTGTCTAAAATAGTGGCATGTCAAAAGACAGACAGAGAAGTTCTTAGCTGAGCTAGTTATTGACTACTCAGGCGATTTCTGTACCTAATTACCAACCTATTAAAACCCTTTTTATTGTTACGTGTTATTTGGCGTTTGTCTCTACTAACCCCAAATCAACATCATGACAGTGTCAAAATAACCCAACAAAATGTTTATATATCTATCACAATTTACCACAATTTTACTATTTATTGCAAACCATATTAGCCCATATTTCAACATAACCGTAGTAAAAAATATCCTTTACAACCAACATTATAACCAAGATTGAGGGGCCCTAGGCTGTAGCCTATAGGATAATCAGGACCTGGTAATGGAGCTTCCCCTTATTTTATTGATCTATATATCTCAACGTTATTATATACCTCGTTAAAAGATGGTTTTCCAGGTAGAAAAGGGAATCAGGAGTTTTGTTCAAGACTAGATAACTCTAGACATAGCGGGCGGAAAAAGAGCAATCTATTCCTGTAGATTCAATAAAGGGCTCAGTTCGAAATTTCTTGAAGGTTACACTGATCAACAAAGACCTGGAGAAGGCTGAATAGCACAATGTATAAAACGTTGTGACAATAACGGCAAAGATGAGGACATTAGTCTGATTGGAAACAATATAAATAATGCTATTTTTTCATCTAAAAACTTATATGTCATTACAGTGCAATTGCATGCAATTTCGAACGAGTGCATTTGGTAACTGCACTTTTGCATTCTCTATTTGAGAATTACGAACATATATTTGCAACGCTTGCATGTAAACGAAGAACTGTGTTTCGAAAGTCAGTGATTCGTGATTTGCAGAAGTGGTTCCTGAAATTGCAAGAATCGAGCGAAAAGCCGGATATGGAGGAAACAGAGAGAAAGAATTAAACTTAATGAAAATGTTGCTGACCTGGTGGGCTTCGCATAGGTCGCTCTTCCGTCACTGAAAGAGAAAAAAATGAACTGAGAAGTTATTCAATACAGATTCAGACAGGAACATCCCTTATAAGGAATGTTCCATTTCGAGAAAGAATACGTGGGAGGCGAATTCTTGAAAAATGCTGAAACATTAACAAATGATAGCAAAACGTAATACAGGGTGTTCCTAAAGTCTGGACACATAGGAAATCTCCACAGATTAAACATGGTTTTGTTGGAAGAATTGACTTCTTTTTCTGTGAAAAAGATCTGTTAAAGGAGGTGTACTCGATGAAAATTACAGATGCAACACACTTGATTGAATGCATAAAGAGTTAATGTGCTAAAATTGACGGCAATGTGGAGTTATTGAATCGAGTTCACGTTAATCTTGCAAAATACATCAACCTTTGATTCACAAATGATGGAAATCATATTGAAGATGTTGTTTGTTAATATTCCAATTCACAGATCGCGACAGCTATTAAGGAGACGTGATTAAATATAATTTAATGTTTAAAAAAATTATTCAGTATTGCTATTGTTTAGGTAATAAGCATTATAATATAACACAAACAGCTATAATGTGTAAAAAGGAATTTTCGACAATATACGTATTTTTACGTATTTATAGTAATTTTTTATCTTTTATCAAAAAGAACATCCTTGTACATGTAGTTATGGATAATATTATAGGTTAATTACTATTTTTTAATTAACAACTGTTTGTACTCACTAGTAACTATCTTCTGAAGTGTTAAAATTTTGGAATAATGCAATAATAAAAATTTAAATTTCATCTTTCTGATAGATGTCGCAATCTGTCAATAAAAATTGAAAATTTAATTTCTTGAAAACATGCATTTTTGTCTCTGTGTCCAGACTTTATGGACCCCCTGTACAAGAAGAGAAACTCGTTTAAAAAATGCAAATCAAACAGTATGACAAAGATATATTTATTTTTAGATGAAGCATTTTAACCATTATTTATTTATTCATTTTGCCACGTCCTTTTTAGGATACAGATTAAATGGCTCTCCACAGCTTCCAGATGTCATGTTCATCTATGTCAAGACGTAGGTGATCATGGCTCTCCACAGACTTCCCTTTTTTATTATCTGTGAATTGCCATGATTTCTTGGGAAAGATAGCGGAGTGGTTTAGCGTTGATTTCGTGTTTTAAATCTATAACAGTTATTCTCCCAAACTGGCTGCCTACCAAGGCAAAAAAGCCAAGTATATGTATCTAAGAAGAATACAACGGAAAATGTGGCACAGAAATTAAAATGAGAATAGTGAAAGATACCTTTCAAAAACTAAACAAAGTATTACGAAACAGGATAATTTCATTAGACACAAAGATAGAAACGCTGAACTGTTATCTGCCCTTCTATATGGCAGTAAATTTTGGACAATGTCCTCAAAGATGAAGAGGCAACAGAAATGTGTTTCTACATAAGGATGCTGAGGTTTGGTTTGGTTTGTTTTGTTTTACGGTTTATCAACCTCAATAGGTTATTTAAAGCCGACAAAATTTTCATTGTTGGTAATATTTTTTCCAAAAATCTATTTCTGGTAATATTTTTTCCTTTAAAAATTCTTTCTGGTAATAATTTTCCATTGCTGGTAATATTTACTTTTCAAAAATGTATAGCTGGTAATATTTTTTTTTCAAAAATGTATTGCTGGTAATAATTATTTAACAAAGTATTTCTGGTATTAAAACCTATTCTTACATTTTCATAGTGTTATGACCCTGCTATGTATCTGGAGCATCTGTCTATATTTCTTATCACATCTGCTATATATCTAGAGCATTTGTCTATATTTCTTATCACATCTGCCATGTATCTGCAGCATCTGTCTATATTTCTTATCATATCTGCTATGTATCTAGAGCATCTGTCTATATTTCTTATCACATCCACGATGTATCTGGAGCATCTGTCTATATTTCTTATCACATCCACGATGTATCTGGAGCATCTGTCTATATTTCTTATCACATCTGCTATGTATCTGGAGCATCTGTCTATATTTCTTATCATATCTGCTATGTATCTAGAGCATCTGTCTATATTTCTTATCACATCTGCTATATATCTGGAGCATTTGTCTATAGTTCTTATCATATCTGCTATATATCTAGAGCATTTGTCTATATTTCTTATCACATCTGCTATATATCTAGAGCATGTGTCTATATTTCTTATCACATCTGCTATATATCTAGAGCATTTGTCTATATTTCTTATCACATCTGCTATATATCTAGAGCATCTGTCGATATTTCTTATCCCATCTGCTATGTATCTGGAGCATCTGTCTATATTTCTTATCATATCTGCTATGTATCTGGAGCATCTGTCTATATTTCTGAGATAAGGTATTGTAAATATTTAAACTATTTACATTGTTCGGACTGTTGTCCTTGGTATTTTCCAGAGACCCCCCCACTGGGGTAGGCTGTGACACAAGGTTGATTATTTAAGGTGGTGAACCCTGAGCGCGAACACTCAGGCTACTAGTCAAAAAAATTATATATATATATATATATATATATATATATATATATATATATATATATATATATATCCACTATCATGGGGACCTTAGATATTTTTTCGTCACTCGCCCTTGCAACATGAGCAGCCCAGCGAAGTTGTAACTACATCAAGAAGGTCTCAATTCCACCAATATATTTGGCGCGAAGATCGGCATTGAACAGTCTATAGCAATTGAATGATAGCGCGTGCACACACACACACACACACACACACACACACATCTATCTATCTATCTATCTATCTATAGGAAATCATTTTATAAATATATTTATAAACAGCAGTAAAAATATTGTTAGTTTTTCAATCTTTTTATTTTAGAAGGCTATAAATATTCCATTTAGATGTTCTCTTTCTTTTGCCATTAGGTCCACACAACGGCTAAATCAGCCAAGGGTCTGATGATGACGAAATATAACACTTTACCTTGTCTTTATACCTGAGCCATAGACGTCCAATATTTCTTTGTCCACTATCATGAGGACCTTAGATATTTTTTCGTCACTCGCCCTTGAAGCGAAGTTGTAACTACATCAGTAAGGTCTCAATTCCACCAATATATTTTGAGAGAAGACCGGCATTGGACACTCTATAGCAATTGAATGATAACGTGCGCGTGCGCGCACACACACACACATCTATAAATTAAATTGATGTATCTCAAAAAAGCGGAGTAATACTTTCGAAACTTGAAATCGTGAGCCAAGTCAATGAACTTTTTATTTTAATATATTCTGCATGCGAAAAAAAACCAAAAAAACAAGAATGAAAGAAAGAAGAAAAACATTTAACGGTATCAAGCAATTCCCATGCATGATTTTTTTAAAATGGAGACATCTTATCAACCAATATGGAGGAAACAGACGAACTATATTTTCGTCTGCGGAAATAAGCTTATTCCCCTTATGAGATATTGGGATTATATTGTTTATTAATTATTTGCTCTCTAATAATAAATTCATAGAGCTCGTTTTGTGGATTAGTTTTAATATGTTATATTACTAGAATCCACTTAGATTATATACCAACAGATTTGTTACCTTTACTAAATATATATATATATATATATATATATATATATATATATATATATATATATATATATATATATAGGATTGATTGAGCTATGCGCTGTTTCCCTCTGTCCTCTTACCTCAATCTGTCCTGTGAGTATCAGATTTTCCAAGCCTTCCTTCCTCATTAATGTGCCTCAGAAATTTCAACTGCCTCTTCCTTATGTTAAGTACACGTTTCCTTTTTGTTTCCATTTTCTCTGAAATATCATCGTTTGGTCACATGTTCGGTCCATGGTATCCTCAGCATCCTTCTGTAGAAGTACATTTCTGTTGTCTCAAGTCACTTCTTCGTCTTTGAGAAGAGTGTCCAACACTCAATGCCATAACAGTGGATATAAGGCCATAGCCAGGTATTTTTCGTTGTTTTAAATACAAATAACTGGTACCTTGCGCCTAACACAGGAAGGAAAAACCGTACCTGCAACTGAATAGTGATACTTTTCGTGCGGAAACAATGTTAAAAATTTAGTTGAAGCCATAAATCAACCCATAAAAAAGTTTATTGTCCAGATTACCAATTATAAAGTTGGCATCTGAAGTCAGATTTCGTAATTGACCTCTGTTAAACAAAACTAACATACCTAGGGAAATGGAACCTCATTCCTCCTCACAACTATCCTGTTTCTACCCTTATACAATTACCTTGGCAGTATCTCTTCCATTTTTTAAAACTATCTACAAAGTCCTTTTTTCAGCTGCTTTGTTTTTCTCCATAATTCTTCTTTTATCGCCTTTTCAATGGGTATTTGAGAAAAATATTGGTTTTTAACATTTTAGAAGTATGAGGGGGAGGTGCAGTTCATATTAGAACAGTGTCAAATCGATCCCTGATTCTTAAAGCGTTATCTGTACTTTGTTTTTTTTTTATTTATAAATCTGAAGTTTGAAATTGCTTAAATCATTAACAATTGCGTATTTAATGAAGTTGCCTTTTTTTTCAATTCGTAGTAGAGTTCAAAACTTTTTTCACGCACATAGATTCTACACCGATCTTAGGCAAAAAATACCAATTTTATGAGATTTACAGCTTCAGCTGAATTCTTAGCATCGTTTACACACTAAAACTACTATTATTTAGTATCAGTTATTTGCTATTTGATTTGAAAAAATACATTATTTTTTTTATATTTACGAGTTTTCCAGTGATTTATATGTGCCACAATGCCTGTTCAGAAATGATCTCTAACCATTTAATATTAAAAGTAACCTGCCTAGGGCAATGGCACCTTAGTGCTCTTCAAAAGTATTCTGTGTCTACCTTTATACGTTGATTGTTTCATTCATTTTCTACGGCTTATCAACCCTTTGCTGGCTATTTAAAGTCAGAAAATATTTTTAGATTGTAAAAAATTTTCTTTAGGTGGGGGATAATAATAGCGTAGTAA